TAAAATCTAAATTTTAGCTAAGGTATAACTAGGGACAATCAACCAAAGAGATGAGGCTACAGCAACACCTTCACAAGTTTTCCAGTTGAGGAAAAGGAAAAACAAATGCCGTTGTCACAGTTACTTAAATTGATAATAATAAGGGGCACAGGGGTTGTGAGTCAAATCCTACCTAAGGCAGCAGAAAGTTACATAATGGCTGCAGTGGAGCTTTGGATCAGAACTAATATTTCTATCCTATTGACGCTACAGTTATAAAGCAACTTAGCTCACTCAAATTCAGTGAATCTTACATTTTGTAAATGCCTGATGAATGCTTTGAACAAGCAATGCTCTGAATCAGATGAATTTTAGGAAGACATTTAAGTGGATAACAATAGCCTTTCCTTGAAGAGCACATTATTGGTGTGAAATGCCCCAGCTGTGCATTGCTGGAGGCTGGGTCTGCACACTGTGGGAGTGCCCTGCTCCTGTACCATCCACCAGCATCTCCTGTCAAAAACAGGACACCAACCTGGGAACCTTTGTCTAAAATGGCCTTTGAACCTTCTTGTGCACTACACAGAAAATCAAACAGGTATCTTTGCAAAACTTCTTCCCTCTCCCCTCATACTCCCCATTCTCTCACAGTTACAGCATTCACAGTCATCATTCCTTACATTTTATTTACTAAACTTTTTCAGTCTAAATCACTGTCAAATTAAAACCAGGCTCATAGGACCAGTTATAGCCAACTGCAGCAAGCAAGTGGCTTAAACTTAATTCTTGTGATAACAGGGTATTGTAGGGCTCTCCCTACTAGCATTTTACTAGAGCATCTTTCAGAAGCATTAGCAGAAGATTGCATAGTCCTTCTTGATTATCTCAGACCTTAAATTTATTATGGCCCTATCACACACAGCTATTATAGTAAACTGCTTGTTTGTAATTGCTCTCAGTGGGAGAAGGTTCAAGACCTTTATTTCTTCCTCAGAAGGATATTGGGCCTGATCCAGTTCAGGCCAGACTCACACTGCTCTCTTCTCTAAAAATCTATTTTCTTTTCTTTTTAGATTAATTAAGGCTACAAGATACCATCTTTCTCTCTGGCCCTTGACCTTCTAGATAACATATCTGTACACCATAAAATTATGTGTAGGAGAATATAATATTAATTAAAAGGCAGTATTCTTTTGATTTAATATCAAATAAAAATATAATATCACTGAAGAAAACAATTGACTATAGTTCATCATATAGACAGCAATTAAAATCAAAGTGTAGCTCTGAGCCAGTATCAACCACATAAGTATATTCCCCTCTGATGCAGATGCAGTCATTCAGCTGTGTTATCACTTGAATGCAAGGGTGGGATCCTTGCCCACTCACAATCACTTTTTGCCCCAGAATCCCCTTGAGTTCTGCCAACAAGTTGAGAAGGAAAAGAGCCACTCACTCTGGGGGTCCTCTCTGTGGCAACCCCAATGCATTAATAATATGAGGCACTCACCCCTCACCCCTACACACACCTATACGTCACCTGCAATTGTACTCTGGTGAATTTGTGTCTGGGTATTGTCTTAAAGTAAGAGGTGTTTGTCTTTCCCGTTAGTTGTTTTCTGTGAAAACGCAAACTTTGATGCCCTTTTTTTTTCAAGGCAATAAGAATATTGTTCATTGTGAATGAATATGCGTAAGAAAAAAATTCAGCTCAAAGATTTTTGTAGGAAAAATAAATAATAGTGTTTGCAGGGAAAGGTGGTCCTTTTATTCCAACTTGATAATGTTTCCAGAAATTCTGAGTTTAACAGTAGCTCAATAGGGCAAACAGTCCACACATAAGCTTGGCTGTCACACATTATGAATCTACAAAACCTACCCCTCCCAAAAGATTCACTCACTGGTCAAGCTCCTCTGCTTGAGAATCCCCCACAAAAATTTCTTCCAAAGAGGAAAATCAATAGAGTTCTTCATCAGACAGAAATATGCTATAATCAGATTCAGAAAGTGATTAGCATTGAAAAGATTGCTGATTTAGGAACATTAGTGTCAAGTCCCCTAGCATTTAATTTTGTTGGTAATCTGCACCACAAAGGCTACTAGTCTTCCCAGATCCTCACTATTGAGCTAAAACAAGGAAAGGACTAAAATCAGCTTACAATATTTGCCAATTCCAGCTGCTGGTTTTGTCTTCTGTTTAAATGCTATTCATTCCTCCTTTACTACATTTTCAGCAGAAAACATTTGACTCCACGAAACTTAGATTTGGGACCAATTCTATATTTAGAAATAATTCAAAGCTGAGAGCTTTTAGATAAGAAATTCTCATATAATGAAGGATTAGAAAGTAACATAAATGGTCATGTACCTATATTTTATAATGCAACTAACCAAGCTAAGCTGGAAGATGAATATTGAAATGCCTAACTTTAATTGGTGAATTAAAATGCTTAACAGTCAAAATCCAATTGCATGCTATATAGCACTATTGAGCAAAAAGTTAATATCCTTTGGATGGATGTCATAATTATGTATTTTCATATCCTAAAATGTTTCATTTTAGTATTAAATTTCCTGTGTTACATATTTATGTAATGTAGGGTTAATTTCAATACATGTACAATGTGTGCTATGCTTTTGTTACCAGAACATACTGTCAATTTTAATTGAAATTTAACATTTTTTCCTACTTCAGAGTAAAAATCAATCATTACTTTCTGCAGTCTCTCCAGTAAGCTGCATAATAAAATACCCTAAGACGCTACATATTGTTGCCTCATAAGGCAAGCACTATAATAATTTGGTTTATATGTATTGGTGACACACCGGAGTTTTTATATTTAAGAACTTCTACATTAGCAATGCATTGAAATTTGGACAATTTATGTGCTGAACTGTCAGAAACTCTCTGGGAAGGCAAAGCTCAGCAACAATGCTGTGGCATGACACAAGATCCAAGCTAAGGATGTTTGTGAAACAGCTTTCATTGAGCCAAAGAGATTTTATGAGACTTCAGCACAGTAAAGCATTATTATGGCAGGACTATTAGGGCAGCTCAGTGTTTACCCAGCACAGTCCTATTTCTGGTGTATGCAGAAAAAAGTGTGAAAATAAAGACTACTTAGGCTACTAATAAAAAATCTATTATCCCCAGAAATGTAGGGACTTTTCACTGTTTCCTATAACAACCTTGTCACACTTTTTAAGAATTGTCATAATAAGGAAACAGTTACAGCATTGATTTACTTAAAACTTTGCTACTGAGAACAGTCCACTTTACAAATTGCCAATTAGTCATGTTCAAGTAGTTGCTAATACAAATTTGCTGGAATAAATAAGTAAAATAACAACTGCTTTGATTTTTTTCATTTTTAATCTACTGGAACTTGACCTCTGGGAAACTGAGATTTTAAAAATGTTCCACATGCTGATTTAAAATATGGAACCTGGAATTTGCCCAAAATGATGATATCCTCATAAAAAGGCACGCTGGTCAAATTTGTTAGTATAAAGCATAGACATCCAGGCTTTAAAGACCCATGTGCTGAGAGAGTCTCACATTGACATGGCTTTAAAGGTCACATACATACTCTGCCTCAATTGAACCCCAAGGGATGCTGTGGCTAAGCACACAAGATGTTCAGGCACTACAGTCAGGTTTAAATGGGCATATGGCAGAAGAAATCTGTTCCCACAGGAGGAGGAAAAGGAGAAGTAATATCACAAGCGAAATTAAGAAAAATCAGGATGACAGCATATTACTAAACTAATAGAAAGGGTGATAAAAAAGGGAGGAGGCTGAGTTGCAGAGAGACACTAGAAATTAAGAAGGAAATTCTAGGAGCATGGCAATGCACCCAGTGTTCTTGCTGACCTTCAGCTGGAGGAAAATGTCATTCCTTTTGATTCACTTGGATTTTGGTATATTTCATATTTATGTAATATTTTCCATACAAAGCAATCTAATCTCAAAAAAAAGGAGCTTGGTTTGAAAGCTTAATAAATGAGGGAGTTCCCACAGGACAAAGAAACAAATTACGGGATTACGGAATGATGGTTTTTTCCACCTGTCTAAAGACAAATTGCTTTCACATACTGGCATCTAGACCTCAGAATCTTTCAGACACTACTGCCTCTGTCTGACAGGCCCCACTTACAGAGCAGAGGTGAAAAGTTTGGACCCAAATCTATCTATGATACTTTCTCCTTGGGTTTCCTTTCCTTGGCCTAATAAGACAGAAATCAGCCTCAGAAAGAATTAACATTTTGTGAAATAGTTTTCCTTCCTCCATGTCTGAGTCCAGCTCTAAACATGAAGCTGCAAATGCAGAAAGGCTCATTTGCCTTCCAAAACACATTTTCGATAGCACTTAGCTCTGCAGCATCAACAAAAGTATAAGGGGCAGGTTTGTGAACACTTCTGTGCACAGGGCACAGGAGTGCAAGGCAGCATACTCATTTTTCACATAAGTTATAGAGAGGAACAAAGATTTTTAAAAAAAAATTCATAATATCTTTACTATAGTGTATTTTTTAAAAAATTCCTAAAGCATGAAAAAAACACAAGACCTTCCATTTAAAAAACTCCTCAGGTCTACAAAGTCCTTTCTCCACTTGCCTGGAACAACATCATTTTGGGGAAGACTTTTCCACATGGACATATGACGAATGATGCAAAAATCCTCTTCTGACACCTTCTCTACTGTATCCAAAGAAGGCAGGGTAGCCCCCATCAGTCTGGGAGCTGGCTGCTGCTGGAGCTGATACAGAATGGAAGGAAGGCAATCCAAAAGAGGCACCACCAGGAGACTGAGGAAGAGAAGCAAATACCTCCTGGACCTGGCCCCCAGTTCAAGCTCTCACTCGGATGTAGATTCCTCCCCAGCAGTGCAGATGGCGAGTGCCTTTGCAGTGACTGGGAAGGACTGGATAGGGTCCTTTTTCTCCATATTTCAATTCTTTGTGGCTCATTTGTTTCCTTTGTTTTCCTTAACAGTACATTCTAACAATATTTTAATTAAAGTCATATCTATATACAACTTTGCATCTTAATGAATGTTTTTTTGTGGGTACTTTGGGGTTGTGTTTTGTTGTTTTGCTTTGGGTTTTTTTGGTCTGGTATTTTTCATTTATAGTTAAAATATCTAATTACCAAGGAAACTATAATGAAATCCACTAAATGTGAAACAACAAACAGAAATTCTAATTAGCAGGGGGACTGATAAAAGAATTTACATTTCCAAAGCTGTAGCCAGATACTTTTTCTTATTACGTTACCTGTTATTCTTTTCTTGCTATCAAAGCTCCTTTGCACAACAGAGAAGCATTTATAAATTCCAGCCATGATTCTTCACCCAGATAAGCAGCATGTGAGGGAAGGAAGGAGTCAGCAGCAGCAAAAGAAACCTAGGAAGTTTCAGTGAGATTTTGTGGTGAGAAAATTATGAGATTTTTGTCCCTTTCTATTTTTCCCACCTGTCTAAATCCCATATAACTGTTTCACCCACAGGAGCACACTTAAATCCTTCAGTTATTTTTGCAAATTTTGACTTTAGAGCCAGTAGAAAATAACAACAGTTTCTAAGACTACTGTAAAATACTTCACCTGCACACAGGAAAAATTATGTCGGAAGACATCTGACTAACTGCTGCTCTCATTGATTTTGCTCCCAAGACTAATCATCTACTGCAATGTCACTCCACACCACTCTGCTGAGAAGCTGCACCTCAGCTTTTGTTTACAGACTTCTTTAATTACCAAGCATGTCTCCCACAAATGAAGGAACTATTGTGCACAGAGTAGCAGCACTGTCACCATCACTGCATTCAGGCAGACTCTGGAAATTATTAGCCCAACGTAATGTCTTAGAGAGTGAATTGCAAGCTATCAATTGAAAAAAAAAATGAAACCTCTTTTCAACACAACATTTAACAGAATTTAGGTGGGAAACAGCAGCTGTAGTGACAATACTTCAGTGTTATTAACATAAAACCCCATCTCAAAACTCATATGTATGGCAAATTTTAGCATTGTCAAACAATTTTCAGCTGATGAAAAATCAGAGAGATCAAGGGATTTTTCATGTTTCACCTTTCAATGCTAATAGCCTGAGGAAAAGAAAAGGTATCCGTATCCTTTTTTAAACTTTTACCAAAAAAATCCAAAACATTTTGTTTAAAAGAATTGAAAAATATAGGATTTTGGTGGACTGTTGATTTTTTTTTGAACCTTTTTTGTGGGAAACTCACTTCTTTTTCCCTCTCCATCCTTTTTTTTTTGGTCCCTCCTCCTCTGCAGGGACTCTGGCTGGAGAGGTGGCAGCCAGGAGATGGCCCCTGCTAATGGCAGCAGAGAAGTTTGAGCCAGGCTCCAGCTCCACGAGTCAACCCTGTTGCTTGATACTGAGGTGGCTGGGAGAGGAGTAGGTGGCACAAGGAGCCAAACTCACCCATTGTTTCAGGAAAACAAGTGCATTCTCTGAAATAATCACATCTCGCCAGGGTATAGGTAGCCCAGCACCCTTATACTGGGAAGCCTCTTTGTGGAACCTCTGACACAGGTGGAAGGGCTGCAGAGAGAAATGGTCTGTGAGCCAGAAACAAGAAGCAGTGCCCAGATACCTTTGGCCAAGTCCTGGGAACCAGGATCTTGACAAATATTGTGAAAGTCAGCTATAGTTGTCAATAACAATGTGCATCACCAGCTCTGAAGCAATCAAAGAAAAATGTGGAGCTGATTTTATCCTTTTCCTCAGTACTGTTCGAATTTTAATTTTAATTTCAATATCTCCTTCATCTTTTCCTATTTTGTTGTTTTGCCTCCTTTGTATTTTCTGCTTGCCACTACAAAATCTTGAGTAATGCTATAGTGCAATGCCTATGTGTAATGGTAGGAAGATGTTCTGCTCCCCAGAGCTGCCTGTAATTCAGTGGTGTGGGAACTAATTCATGTGGCCACATGTAATTTGTATAGCACTTTGGGACGCTTTTGGAAGAAAGACACTATACAACAGTCAGATCATTTGCATTATAAAGGTTATGGTGCCTGCTTCTTGGATTAGATGCTTTAGGTTTGTATAATGTTTCTATGTCAGAAGAAACAGGAGCCAAATTGGGAAAAAAAAGTCTTTTCCCTGAAGCCAGATATACATTCCATATATTGACTAATTCTATATTCATTATTCATTAGGATTCTGATTTTTATTTTGACTTCCAAATACACTTCTTTTCCAGATTCTCTTTCATTGTTTAAAAACAAACCTTTGGAACGTTCAAATGAAGGTGTTGCTTTTTGAGTTTAACATAAACATTGCTGTTTCCCAGAAGTAAACGCAACTGCAGAGGCAATTCCAAGCACCCAGCTTCCCAGCTCATTAGATGAAATAGCACGGTCACTCTCTTTGATGGAAGAGTCCTCCTCTCACATCAGGAAGCATTCATCAGTGCTTCCTACAAACCAGTATCCAGGAAGGGCCCATAAGATTGTTCTGAAGCAAAATGTTATATTACCTCTTCCTGCAGAAAAAGTGCCTGGAGAAAAATGGGGCTGAAGTAAATGGGAATATCTGAAGGAAACATCATAACGAAAAGAGGTGGTAATATAAAAAGAAGAGTAAAAAAAAATTCTGAATCCTCTGCCCCAGGTGTATTATGGATAAAAAATATGATTAGCTTCACTGGCTTCAAACCCCAAGTTACACCAGATAAGAATCTGCCTGACTTAATTTTACTCCTTACCTTTTTAAATAATGAAATGACAGCCTCAGTAGCCTTAGCTTCAGTAATAGATGAGCAGAATAGATGCTGTACAAAAAAAAAAGAATCTATACTTTTTATATAGCTTTTGGATTCTCTCAATAGTTTAGAAATGCCCCACAGAGTGTTTTTTTACCCATATTGTAACACCAACTACTTCCGTGTACAATAGGCTTATTCCAGACTTCGCTGGAATTACTCCAGATAAATTCAAATGAATGTACAATCACTCCGTATCCCTCTGACCAAATTTATATATATGTGCCATATTATCCTGTGCCAGCACAACACTAAATTGTCACATTTTCACATCATTTCATATAAACAGACCCTTTCCCTTTTTTAACTAATATTTTGTAGTGAAGAAACTGTTCAACATGATACTTCTGAGTGGAGGACACAGTCAGAGATCACACTTCAACATGTATAAAAAGAGCATCCTATTTTAAACTATTCTGAATAAGTCCTGCAGTTTATATACTTGTAGTGTTAGGACTGACTGGATCTGTTTCTTTATTGCATAACAATCTAATTATGCTGTACTTTCTTCCACTTGGAGATAGACCAAAAGTCCACTGCAGTTACCACAAATCTAGCTTTGGGTCAGGACCTTATTTCCTAAGAAATACTCTATCTGTAGTAGGACCTACTGCTGGTGCAAGCAGCTATTCAGTGTGGGAATGAATGTCACAGCCTGGTCCTGAGAATTATTTTAAGAATTTTTCCATAACTCATTGTGCACATTCTAAAAATTTGAGTAAAATCTATAAAAAAGATGATGCTACAGCAAACTACCCTAAGGAAATACCCCGGTAGAGAGTGTGACAATGTTATTAAATAAAACAAGATAGACATCTGTTATTTAAGTTATTACAAAGCATTTGGTGACATATTTAATAAATAATATTCCAGGAAGTTTAAATGTAATCCTGATGGACACTTAGCAAAAATAATTTTAAAATGAATAGCATATGTGGAGCATATCTGATGGTTTTCCACTCTAAAAAAATGAAAGAGAGCTATTTGTGCCAGAAATTGACACTCTTCCAGTTATCGCTGTGCTCCAATACAGTATACTGTGTGCATAAAATATCCTCCAGTTTAATGTGCACCAGAAGTGTAGGGGGGAGTGAAAAGGAAGGAAAAAAACCCACCACTGCTGTAGTTAGGAATTCCAGGCTGCTGGCTATTAAAGTGCCCTTCGTTCACCTGCTACATCCAAATCAACAGCGCGGTGATTGGCGCCTGCTCTCGTAAGCGGGTATTGTGTGAGCGGTGGGCAGCTGGAACCCTCTGAGAATCTTCACTTGTCAGAGATGAATCAATCATCTCAAAAGATGTCAGCATCTGCCCAAACCATTTTATATTAGAATAAATGGCAGATGGTGGTGTTTTTATATTTAATCAGTTCCACCAAATGCAGTTTCATCTCTTATAAAACTAAACCATCTGCAGTGTGTAGGTGTACAAATCTAGCTAAATGCCCACTGCAGAGCCTTTCCTCTTAAAAGTAAACCCTACATGTTTAATATTTGTGGATGCTAAGTTCACTAAATTTCAAAAGCTTTAACAAACCACCCTGATTCTATAAACTATTTTATTTTATTTTTATATTTAAAATATTTAATATGAATTGTCCATGCCTAACTCTTGCTTTTGAATCTTGTTATGTAAACTGATCATACTTGGCAGTATTAAAATACTTTCTATGCAAGATCATTCCTTCCTTCTTTCTATATAACTTCAGCTTCATAAAGCATGGCACAGAAAGAGGCTTAGTGACTTGTCTGAGACAGAAGACCTCAACAGCAATATACCTCAGGAACAAAAAGGTCTCACCTGGCAGAATCACACCTGAAAGTCTTGGCTATAGTGAGGCTTCCTCTTGATTTTAGCCTGGCTTTTAATACTATCTCCTGTAACAGCCTCATAGATAAACTGATCAAGCACTGACTAGATTAAATAGACAGTGAGCTGGACTGAGAACTGGCAGAACTGTTGGGATCAAAGGGCCCTGATCAGCAGCACAAAGTCCAGCTGGAGACCAGTCATTATCATTATGGCTTTGATATCTGGACCTGTACTGTTTAATTTCATCACTAAGGACCTGGATGATGGGGTGACAGTGCACCCACAGCAAGTTTGCAACCAGTGGGAGTGGTTGATGAAGCAGATATGTGTGCTGCCATCCAGAAGGACCTCAACAGGCTTTAGAAACAGGTCAACAAGAGTCATGATGTTCAAAGGGAAATTCCGAGTTCTGCAGCTGAGGAAGAGCAACCTCAGGTGTGAAGATATGCTGGGGGCTGACCAGACTGAAAGTAGATTAGCAGAAAAATACCTTTCTGAGGACACAAAATTGAATACACACCAGCAATGCACCTTTGCCTCAAGGAAGGTGAGCATTGTCTTTGGCTGCATCAGGAAGAGTTTTGCCACAAGGTCAAGAGAGATGATCTTTCGCTGCTCAGCACTGGTGAAAAATACCTGATGTGCTGGGTCTAATCCTGGGCCCCCTGGTTCAAGAGAAACAGACATATTGGTGCACATCCAGCAAAGAGTCACAACTATGGTGAAGTGACTGGAGTCCAGTTGTGCAGAAACTACTGTTCTTTGACTTTTTTTTATTTTGTCCCAGTTTTTCCCTTTGTGGTTTTGCTGACAGTAGCATGGAAACACATACAATTTTCAAACAATTTCTCCAACAGAACCTGGATGAAGTCTGATCAAGAACAGGCTGGATATCTGATTTCAAGTACATTTCATGGGATTTGAGGGGGCAAGAGGGGCAGCAATAAAGCAGTCGCATATCACATAAAGCAGTCTTCAGCCTTTGAGCTTTTTCCATTTTATTAAGTCAGCACTGATGCTGGTGTGCAACAACCAGCACAAATCAGAACAACTGACATATACTGGACTCTGCTCCAATGAAAATTAACAGTGAAATCACTTGGAGATCTAGAAGGTCCAACTTCCATGAAAAAAAATTAGCTAAATTCTCAATCAGAAACAAATACAGTCCAACAATGGAAAATATAAAAACTCTATCTAGCTGTCTAGTAACTCTACAACTTCGGAAAGCAATGTAAAAATCAAAATTTGCCATAAATTTAGAGAAAAAGATCCTTTGCTATGCCATAAACTTGCAGTACAAGATACAATTTTCCTTTGCCCCATGGTAATAAAGATGTTGTGAGGATTTTGCACATTGTTAAACTACCCCTACTTTTCTATCCAAGAGTGGCTGTGCATTGGGGAATGGGTACAGACTGCAAGAAATCAGCTTTTGTAGGAAGCACTTTGTAACATTTCTACTTTTTCTTAAAAAATGAAGATGTAAAAAATTTAAATGAGACTGAAATACCCTTGAGAAGGCACTTCCCAGAAAAGTAGGCAAAGATATGTGAGGTCTGCCAAGTGAGGTCATGCCAATGGCTTGTATGGAAATTTGCTGCCCACATAGGCTGCACAACCCAATAGCATCAGCAGGGTGGGGACAAGATAGGCCAAGTACACCTTGCAGAGGAAAGAAAGATCTCATCTCAGAACAGTTTATACTTCCCCTGTCTTCCATCACACAAGGGAGAGGAGCAAGAAGTGGTTTGTGTTTGAAGGATAGTTCCTTCCCAGTGCCTCATCTGGGGCAAAGCCCTTTACTCAGGGTCATCTGCTATCCTGCTAGTCCACAGGGAGTAAGTAGACAGGTGCTCCAGCTGGGAAGTAGGGCACTCATCTAGGTTAACACAATAGTTTCCACTTATAACGATTCATGGAAAGCTTTTCTTCAGTTTCAACCCAAGTGCATTCACAAACAGTCCACTCTGGTTTCAGTTTGAGTTTTTCTGTCAAATACAGCTCATTTGAAACCAAGTGACTCCTGAAACTGCTGTTTACTGCATGAAAATGAAAACTATCCCTATGCTGTATTGTTTAAGACTTTGGGGTTTTTAGTAACTTGAGAGCTCAATACTCAAAACTCAGAGGTTTTTTCCGAGTTACTAATTTAGTTTGGGCCTTTTAGTTCCCCTAGGTCAGTCTTTTTTCCAAAAGCTTCGCATCTGTCTCTAAGGAGTTATTCAGGACATGTCTACATGCTGTACAAAAGCCTAGCTTCAGGGTAGGCATCACTTGTACTTTTACGTCCATCTGTCTTCACCATACCTTGGTTCATTACAGTTTGTATTAATAAGCATGGAAGTGGGGCCAAAAAATCTATCATTGAAAAAGTCTCTTGTAAGGGTTATTGTCTGGGCACAAGGGCAGGGCACTGAGAAGACTCAAATCTAAGGAAGGGCAGAATGTCTGTACTGGCTGCCAGAGCTAGAGCCTGGGAATTTTCCTACAGGCAGACGAATGAAATGAAGCATTGATACAGTCCTACAGAAGCACATACTTTGCCTTGATAAAATCTCACAGATTAAGAAACTGGGAAGGGCAAGCTGAGTAAGAAAGAAATCAAGACCAAAAAATGGAGAGTGCAGTGAGCCAACTGAGGAAGTAGGGACCAAATGACACCAAGCCCATGAAGAGCTGTGCACCACAGGAAAGCTTGGACATAGACAGCTCCTGAAAGCAATAGGGAAACAGAGGAAAGAAACAGCAAGGATCATATATATTCTTCATTTTAGTAATATACATATACACAGTTTTGTGCATAAATACACATTTTTGTGTTCACAAACATGCATGTACATTTATATATCCTTACATGTACATGAGTGCATGTGTTATTTCTTGTGCTATCTCAGGAAATAAGAGACTGGTGTGCAAAAAGTGCAAAGAGTGTTTGTCTGTTTGCTATCAGCTGTCACATACCCAAAGTAAAAATTGTAAACTAACTTTCCCAGTATGACCAACATTCTCAGCAAAGATGAGCTGACACTAGTCAGGAGCTTGGTGGTGAGACCAAAGGGGCTAATACAGCTGTGAAAGCATAACAGGCTGCCAGACTGTTTATTGGAAAACTGCCAGGGAAGCCAAAATAAGAGACCTGTTTCAAACTGCCCAGTCAAAATGGAGTCTGGGAATTCACCATAAGTCTGAAAGCTGAGTTTAGCACCAGCTCAGAAGTGCCCTACCAATGCTGTGACACATTTTAAATAACAGTTTTGTATTTGTATAAAATTCTTACTTGATTCATTCTAAGGCACTGA